CTTCTTATATATAATTCTAAAATGTGATGAGCTTAAGAGGCAGACTCGCACGCTCCGAAATCCTACTTCGTGAAAAATCATGTTTCGTAATTTAGTTTGGATAAAAAATAATGTTATTGTAAATTAATAATTGTAGGCTCGAACATTCCGTAAATATTGAAAAACTAACTTGGGTAGTTTCATAATACTTTGACTAATATAACCCTTAATTTATTTTATAAACTTACTTACTGTTGTTTATATGACTAATATAATCCTAATTTGTTTTGAAATCTCTCACTTTTCCAAATTGAATGTTATATCAGAATGATTAATATATCAAATTTTTATACATATATATTAAATTTTTATATATAATATATCAAATTAATCATGTCTTGATGAACTTTGATTTGACATATATGTTATACATATAAAATAATTAAATAATTTTATTTATATTTATAATTAAAATTAAATTATCTATTAATATTAATTCAAAAAATATAATTATTTAGACTAAAACGATATAGTAGTTATCTGATATAAATTAGAAAAATATGTAATATAAGATGATAAGTCGTGAAAGTGACGGTGCCATATTAAATATATATAATAATATATTTTTCAAAAAAGTATTTAAAAACTAAAACAATTTTTGTTGTTATTATTATTTAATTTTAAATATAATTTTCTTAACAAGTACCCGTATCGCACATGGGTATTATACTAGTAGTGGCAAATAAAACTCAAACTTTTTAGCTTTGCAAATAAATACTAATCTTTTACTATGTGTTTTAAATTTCTCTCCAAATCATTTTTTGGCCAAGTCGAGCTGACGTGTCCGATCAAAAATCTTACGTGGCAATGATGAAGCTTGCGTGGCAGACCAATTTTTCCACATCATCGTCCAAGTCATGTAAACCAGCAATAAAACCAAGATTCTAATTCCTCCAAATAAAACCAAGATCCCTAGAGTTTTATTTGCAAATCTATCGAAGCTTATGTTGATAACCGACTTGGTTTTGTAGAATTAAAGTCAGTGATTAATCGTTTCGGTGAAATAATAAACCTCCAGAAAGAGACAACTTAAGCCAAGTCGGTATTTTCTGAATTAATTACCGACTTCCGAGATTATTAAAAGTGCCGACTACTGAGACAGATACAAATAGCCGACTTCATTTCAACAATATTATGATAAGTCGAATCAAACCTTATCTGTTCAAACCGACGGCCTAAAAGTTCGAATATCGAAGTAAAAGACAGAGCTGTAAGCATGTGATTGGATCATCAAGATAACAGAGCAATCATTGGTGTTCCCCAATTCCAAAACACATCACTTTATTGAAGCTGCTCAACATTAAATACGTTCTTATCCATCACAAGCAAGGAACAAAAACTACCGTACTATAAATGTAAGAGTAGGGTACCCGGCGTTCCAATCTAATTGGACGTATTCTACTTGTAAATACAGTCTATTGGAATTATATTATGAATAAGGCATTTCTTTATCTTAAGAGAAAGCATTTATCTTATAATTGCACTTAAGATAAAATCCCTAGATCACTTATGGTTATAAGGTATGGTTGCGCATATAGATGGTGATCATGGAACATATCTTGAAAGCCGTGATCTTAAATACAGTTCCAAGTCGATGGATGTTTCGACATGGGATATCGAATAATCCATAAAAGACTTGTACATAGTTTGTACGCTTGTTGGACAAGAATGTTGTATTCCATCAACATTAGCGTAAGACGTAAGTACATTTATGTGGGTGCTTGTTAGAGAACAAGTTCACTGAACATGACCGTATGAAAATTCTTAATGAAGAATTTATTCAGTCGAATAAGAATTTTCATGTTACAATAGTACATGACTAATCCTAAGACTTGAGGCACAATGGTAACTTTGTGCATATTACATTCTACTTTGATTTATCTTTTTGGTAGCTAGCACTATCGTTTAAAGGGATAAGTTGGGTATTATGTTAATATGTATGGAAGTTTGTTAGTGGCCAATAAAGGATTCGACACTTATGAAGATAAGTGAATTTCCTATGTGTTTCATAGTTATTAATCCAAAGTCCTTGGCCAAGGCAGAGATGAATAGTGATTCATAACAGGGTTAATAAACTTGAAATAGAATCATAGTTATTAAGTCAATTTGGGTTTCGACAAAATCATACCCAAGACTTAATCGGGAAATTAGATGTCGAAAGGATTTTACATGTATGGAGTTGTAATCGGAATAGGTTTACTCGCTATTCACTTAATACTAGATTCATGCTACTTGCTAGGTGTTCCCATGATATGTGGGTTCTTGAATTAAAGGGTTAATTCATGAATAAGAGTTAATGTGATTAACTCAAATTACAAAGAGTTGTAAACCCACTACTAGTATTAAGGTGAACCTAAAAGGTCACACCTATTATGAACAAAGGTGAAAATTGTATTTCTAAAGAGTTAGAATTAATTGACATAATCTAATTTGATTAGATGTCAATTAAAAGGAATATATTAATCAATAAGATTGATTAATTACATTTTGGATATTACTTTAGTAATTAAGGTAATTACTAAATTAATATGTTGGAATTTAAAATTGGATTTTAAATTTCCAAACCAAAATAATAATAATATGATTATTATAATATGGATGTAAATTGGGAAAATGAATATATTAATAAAGTCTTGAAAAGATTCTCAAGATTTATTATTCTATTATCATTTTTATCTTTAAATATGATTTAAGGATTAAAATAATAAATATGATTATAATAAAATGGTGGTTAAAGGTGGTTTGAACCACTTAACATTATTTATTATTTTCAAGGTCAATAGTTAGTAAATATTATTTAAATAAAATCTGATTTTATTTAAATATTACTAAATGTTGATTATTTTATGCTAAAATGTTTAGTATAAATAGATGCAAAATGGTTTTGCATTTAAGGTGTATTCATTCCTAAAATTTCTAAGTGTTAGAAAGAAGAATAGTTCTTTATAAACATCAAGAAAGAGTTCTTGAAATTTCCCAAAATAAAATTCATACATATTCCTATACAAGAAAACCGAGACATTCCTACTAGCGAAGGAAGGTCGTCGAAACCGGGCTTCATAGGGTGGATACGTTTAGAGGGAAGACACTTGGATTCCTAAAGTGAGTAACCTCAATCCATTGAAGTTATCAAACCGGGAACCGATTCCCACAATCCACATCGTCGTTGAAGGAGTTCAAGACATTCGGTAAATACTTTGTATTTGTATTTACTTTTATTATAACAAATCAAAATTTGTATATGATGCATGTTTTAAAGATGACGATCAGTTAATTCGCAATTAGTATGTACGGGTGTTGTATTTATACGATAAATACTTACTTTGAAAAATTTTAAATTCCGCTGCTTAAAGCCCGTACGGTACTAGCGAACCCAACAATAAATAGCAGAATTTATGATAGTACGAGGATCTTTTCCTGACACATTGTACAAGGACTAAAAATGATCTCGGTTTAGAACTAAGAAACCGACTTCCTGTACTATTGTGATATTATCAATAAATTAAAATTACATATTTGACTTTGTTTAAACACACTCTGCAGTTAATTTTCTCGTTGTTAATTCCATACAACAACAACTTATTTGCAGAATCCATATGCAAAAACCAAGATCCCTGCACATATGTTTCAATTTGATTTTGAATTCCCCCTAACTAATATGGATAAGAAAAAAAACCCCAAAATCCAAGAACCTTAAATCTAAATTCCTTCACAGTTGAAACCCTAAAGATATAAAATAGTATGAGAATTTACCTGTTCTCCATTGACGAAAGTCACGAAACCTCCAAGCTCTCGTTTCTATACTTCACAGAACACTAAAATAGTCTATATGAGCCATCTCCTCCTCTGCCCTTTTTTTTCAGAATTTGGGGGTGAGCTCGTAAATGTATTCGGAATGTTGGGAGTGTACTCGATTTTTGGTGGTGAAAGAAGAATCACTGCATTTTTTTTTTTTTTTTTCNTTTTTTTTTTTTTTTTTTGTCAATTGGGGGTGAACTCGATTTATGCAATCAAGAATGGAGCAACATGGTGAACTCGATTTTTGTTTGGGGTGAACTCTATTTTGGTTAATTTGTTGTCATATGATGTGGCAAAAACATGGTGATGGTTTAAAAGGTTGAGTGTCACACAAGTCTCATTAGTGCCACGTAAGGTTTCTGATCAAATACGTCAGCAAAGATTGGCCAGAAATGGTTTTGAGACAAATTTGCAACACATAATAAAAATTTAGTATTTATTTGCAAAGATAAAAAGGTTGAGTTTTATTTATAATTATGCAAAATGTGAAGATTTTACAAGCAATTAACCCTAAATAAAATCGAGTTTTTATTAGATTTATTGGTTAAAGTAAGTCGATTTTGAATAAAGTTGATTGAACCGAGGATTGAGTCTGATTTTGAGTTTGTACTTAAATATTATTGAAAATATCATGGTTAAATGTGATATAAAAGAGAAAATTGCAAGTTTAGTCCAGTAACTTAGGTTGTTTCCCACTTTAGTCCAGTAACTCTGGCCGATCCAAAATTGGTCCAAAAACTTTCAAAATTTCGCTCGATCAGTCCAATTTCGGCGACGGGGCCTCAAATCCGATCGGAATGCGCTGAGTTGGCAATTATCGACGTCGACTGGCCTTACGTGGATAGATTTCCGTCCGTTTAAATGACGTGGACTCCACACTTTTTCCATGTTATTTTTTTCCCAAATAATTTATTTTTTCCATATATTTTATGTAAATATATTTAGTAACCCAAAATCGGGCGCCAAAATTACTTAATATCAAACCCTAATCCCAAAAATTGCATCTTCGTTCTCGCCATTTGAAACAAACTCCAGATTTCTTAAGTTTCAAACGAAAGTAGGAACCCTAATTGCAAGCCAAGCTATCATCGTGTTCGCCATTTCCGTCAAACGAACCCTAGGCCTTCGTGGTTTTGTTGAATCCAAGCCTTACACCATCGAAGATGGTGATGTTCAGAAACCCGCTACACGCTGGCCTGCCCCCTCCCACATATCGTAAGTCGCTCACGTGTTACCCTTTATATTTGCTCAGTAAATTCAATATACTATGCGCAAATACATATAAGTACATGTTTTTGTGGTCCCTTGTGAACTTTAAAATTTTAATTTACAATATTTTTTTATGTTTGTCGGTTAGGTGTGCATTGATATTGAACATTGAATCATGTGGTGTAGGGTGGGAAAGTTATGTCGGTCTTTGGGTGCTTTTGACTTTATCTTCGAATTTTGAAAAAGTTTTTTTGTTTGTTACCGTTTTTGCATTATTTATTTTGGCAGTAAGTATAATGTTTGATGATGTGATGATGCTTTGTCATTGTAGATCCGGATTCTTCAGCTGTAACTCTTGTAATGCATCATGGAGGTCAGTTTGAGAATGTCCCTAAGGCAAGATACATAGGTGGTTCTGTGAAAGTTTTTGACTATGTTGAAAGGGGTCATATGTTGATGGCAAATTTTGTTCACTGGGGAAAAGAGAAAATTTGTGATGGTAAGCTACGGTTTTACATTATGGTTGATGATGCTTTCAAGCTTGTTGTTGATGGTTCTGATTTTGTGGTTGGATATTTTGATGGGAAAAGTGAAAGAGAAATGCATGTCTATGTGCAAGTTCTTGAAAAAGAAAAGGATAGGATATCAATGGAGGAACATATTGATGATGTTTTAGATTCTGTAGAAGAATAGTACTTATTGTGTGGCTAGTGAATCTGAGGATGATGATATGATTTTTAGTGAACATGTTGATGACATTTCTGCAAATGATGTTGAGGAGATTCCTCTAAATGATAATGAACATATTGCTGAAAACATTAGTATTGATCCTGTTGTTCATGAGAACCCTGATAGAAATAATGAATCTGAGATTGCTTGTGATGGAGATAGTGAAAGTTCTGAGGTTGATGTTGTTAATGGTAGTGGAGTTTTGGATGGTAATTTGTCTGATGATGAGTTCCCTTTGTTCAATCCAGATCTTGCATTTAATCCCTCATTTAAAATAGGCATGGTGTTTAGCTGTAGGCCTGTGTTTAAGAAAGCTGTCACTTCTTTTGTAATCAACACCAAAAGAACTGTGAAATTCAAAAAAAATGATAAGTACAGAGTTTATGTGGTTTGTGGGGAAGAAAGTTGTTCTTGGAAAATTCCTTGTTCAAGTGAAAGACTCTACTTCCTACAGAATCAAGGAAATGAATGCCAAGCACACATGTGCTCCTAGTTTTTATGTAAAAAATGTTAAATCATCTTGGTTGACTGAGAAGTACATTGATGACTTTAAGACTGATCCTGGTAGAAAAGTTAAACCATGGAGAAAAGGGGTTGTGAAAGACATTGGAGTTAATGTTTCTAAACATCAGGCATATAGAACAAAACAAAGGGCTTTAAATTTGATTGAGGGTACCTCTAATATGCAGTACAGTAAGTTGTGGGATTATAGGGAGGAATTGTTGAGGTCTAATCCTGGTTCCACAGTTGTTTTAGGGACAGAGGAAAATGAGAATGGTGAACACAGGTTTAGTAAGTTTTATGTGTGTTTCTCAGCAGTAAAACATGGTTTCAAAGCTGGTTGCAGGAGGTTTGTAGGGGTTGATGGTTGTTTTCTTAAGGGTCCACATAAAGGTCAATTGTTGACAGCTGTTGGTGTGGACCCTAATAACAATCTATACCCTATTGCATATGGAATTGTGAGCATAGAAAACAGAGAGAATTGGGAGTGGTTTCTGATTTTGTTGAAGAATGATCTTGAAATTAAAGAACAGGAAGATTGGACATTTATATCAGATAAGCAAAAAGGTCTAATTCAGGCATTTAATGAGGTTTTACCTTGTAGTTTTCACAGATTTTGTGTGAGACATTTGAACTCCAACTTCCAAAATGCTGGTTTTAGGGGGTTAGATTTCAAAAATGCTTTATGGAGATGTGCTAATGCAACCACTGTTGGAGATTTTAGACACCAGATGAAAGAAATGGAGTCTCTATCACCAGAGACACATGTGTGGGTAAGTGGTAAGCCACCTGAGCAATGGAGAAAAAGTCATTTTACTTATGGCCCTAAGTGTGATTTGGTGTTGAATAATGTGTGTGAAGTTTTCAACAGCAACATATTAGAGGCTAGGGAAAAACCAGTTTTGACTATGCTTGAATGGCTTAGGCAGTATCTTATCACCAAAATGCAACAGAACAGAGATAGGGCAGAAGTGAAATGGACAGAGAAGTGGTGTCCAAAGATTAAGCAGATACTTGTTGAGCATATTGAGCAGGTTGGTAACTGCATGCCTTTGAAATGTGACAATGTCCATTGGGAAGTTTCAACATTTAATGGTGGGCAGTACAATGTGAACCTGAAAGAGTATACTTGTACTTGTAGAAAATGGGGACTCACTGGCATACCTTGCCCTCATGCATGCAGTGCAATGTACTTGGCAAAGTTGGATCCATTTGACTTTTTGGACCCATGTTATAGTGTTGAGACTTACAAGAAGGTCTATGCCCCAACAATCATGGGCATAAATGGTGAAATGCTGTGGGATAAAAGCTTTTACATACCACCACTACCTCCTTACTTTGGTAGAGGTTAAGGCAGGCCAACAAGGGCAAGAAGAATTGATGCACATGAGGTAGCTGATAAGAAAAAAATGAAAACTGGAAATGCAGGTGTTCAGAAGGCAAGAAGGCTACAAACAAACATCAAATGTGGCAAGTGTGGTGCAATAGGGCACAATGCAAAGACTTGTAAAAAAAGAGCTTCAACAAATGTGGAAAGTGAGCCTGTTAGGAAGTTACAGGTAAGAATGTTTTTTTTTTTAGTTTTTCAACTTTCATATAATTCTTACATTATAATCTGATTGTATGTAAAAATTCATATTTTTGTTTATTGTTCAACAGATAAGAAAGAACAATAAGGGCAGGAGTGCAACTGTAAGTGGTCTAATTTTTTTTTTTCTTCATTAACATTGTCCATCATAAACTATGAAATTCATGTACACATTTTCTTAAATTTATAGGAAACTGAAGTGGAGCCTAGCCAAAATCCATTACTTCCCCCTGAGTGGATTCAAGCAGCCTCTGAAATTGTTGTGGAGACCAATGAAGTGCCCTATTGCACACAGGAATCTCAAGGTAATGCATGCCCACCTGCACATATGGAAGGACCTTCTATGTTTGACCAGCTACAAGGAAGAAAACCAAGGGGTCCTCCAGTTGAGCCTAGAGTGGGGCAAAAGTACAAGCCTTTGTATGAAATAGCTTCTTCATTGGATGAAAACAGTCATTTCAGGAGATTGTGAAGTTTGTAATATACATGTTTGATGTTTTTGTTTGGATTTGATTGGTAGTACTTTTGGTGGATGTTTAGTGTTTTTTGGATGGTTGATGTTTAGTGTTTTTGGGAACCCAGAATTGGTTAATGTCATAACCAGAATAGATTGTCATGTAATGATGAAGTTTATGATGTTTATGAAGTTTGCTTTTTGGGCACATATGTTGTTTATGAAAGCATAATGTTATTACGAAGTTTTTTTCCCCAAAACTGTGAATGTTGGGACATGAGGTTATGCCATTATGCTATTATGAATGAGTGCTATTTTTGTGTCTATTTTTTATCAGAATGTTGGAAGTGATGTTTGGCTATTATGATGATGGATTTTTGGGAGAAGTTTGTACATTGTAATAACACTTGGACATGAGTTTAGTAAAGAACTTGTTTTTTCCATTCAAAACAATGTCATACACATTCAGGTAAACAAGAACAGTTATCTATGAGTACATTGGGTAGAATGGTGTTTGATCAGTTATCATATACATTGCCTATGAGTACATTGTCACTAGCTGAGCAAAAAACCATTCACCATTCTCAGAAAACAAGAACAAAAAGCATCCACAAGAACAAGAACAAAATTTTATAGCATCAACATCCAAGTGATGGATTACATAAAACAAGAACAAGACAACATCCAAGTCATGGGGGGATTACATAAACAACTGACAAAACAACAAAGCAACATTCATAGGCAAATATTTTGAAGCTCCTACAAGTACAAGAACACAGGCCACTTCTCAACACTGTGATTTGGTCGGGCCACTATTAAACAACACAAGAACGACTATGAAGACAATCATAGCTGCTGCAAATTTGAGTAGCCTCATGTTCTTCTGTCTCAGAGCTTTATTCTCATCCTCCAAAGCATTAACCCTTCTTAAGAGCCCAGGTATAATGGCTTTTGCTCGCCGACAAATCGGAGGGTCCTCCCATTCAAAAAACTTGCATCCTCCTTTCTACATTAATCGAGGGAACTCAATATGAAGTAAAATTTCAAGAATTTCAAGAACCCTACACTACATCAAATTTTTAATTACTAACCTTCCATGACAAACATGAGTAAAACCTCCTACCGGGATTATCATCGGTCCACGAGGTGCGAAGGACAACTCTTTTTCTGCATTCACACTCAAGGGAGCTCGAAATGAAAGACATTTTTTTTTTTCAGAATTTTTTTTTGCCGATGCAGAGCTTCAAGAGAGACGAACTGGTTCGATTTTGGGATTAGGGTTCCATTTTTATTTTGGGTCTTGTGAACGTTGGGCCTCGATTTTCGTAATTCAAATTTATTTGAATTATTTGGGAAAAAAATGACATGGAAAAAGTGTGGAGTCCACGTCATTTAAACGGCCGAAAATCTGTCCACGTAAGGCCAGTCGACGTGGACAATTGCCAACTCAGCGCATTCCGATCGGATTTGAGACCCCGTCGCCGAAATTGGACTAATCGAGCGAAATTTTGAAAGTTTTTGAATCAATTTTGGATCGGCCGAAGTTACTGGACTAAAGTGGGAAACAGCCTAAGTTACTGGACTAAAATTGCAATTTTCTCAATATAAAAATAGAAGAAAGATTATTGAAAATGATAGGTAGTTAAAAATATATACATGAGTGGATGAATAGCGAATTAAGATTAATGTGATGTGTAAGAATGATTGATTAATATTATTTAATTATATTAATAATATTGAAGAGAGTTAGATTTAATTAATTTGAGTTGAATTTTCTTATGTAGTGTAAACAAATTATCGGACCACTCAAAATCAAATATAATTGGTAGCCAGTCGCACCCTAGCAATCCATATAATTTAGTGCACATTGGATCGATTAGGATATTTTTGGTTCGATTATTTTATCATAAAATATTTCAGTTCGATTTCATTTTTTTAATTTTTTACAATGTGGTCATTTATTCTTATATACGCTCGTTTGCAAGAACCAAATCCAAGTGTAAGTTGACTTTTATTTAATATGTTTGACATACTAATTAAGACATTATTTTAAAAATTATTTTTTTAAAAAAAATACTAAGATAAAATTGTACTCTTTTGTAGATTCTTTTTCAACATATTTTAAATGATGATATGCAAAATATTTTCTTTTTTTTTTCTGCATTAAAATTTAAAAATTAAATAAATTCCTGTTGTGTCATTTGTAGATTATTTTTCAACATATTTGAATATAGAATAATTATGTTATTACTCTCAGTCTTTAATTGGCGCGAATTCAAATTCAATAACTAGAAAAGAATGAACGATTTGTTCCCTAATTATCTTTTAAAAACAAACCTTATCAACCAAAAGCCTTTATTTTCACCAAATAAAAATTCAAGAAATTTATGCAAAAGATTTCCGTATTTTTATTTTTATAAATACGTTTTGACTGCTTGATAAATAATTAAATCTTAAATTTAACAAAACATATTCTATAAACCGATTTAAAGGAAAAAAAAATCTCCATATATGTTAATTCTTAAAATTATGGAACGCCATATTTACTTTCAAAATATTCCGTATAAAAATTTTTATTTTAAATTTTGTAAAAAATAAGATAAAATTTTACAATGACCGTTATAACCTTCTAGCGGTCAATTAAAAAAACAAGTCCACTTAATTATGTTTTTGAAAAATAAATCTTTTGACATAAAAAAACTATTCTTATAAGATACTCTTTTTAATCTATTTAATTATGCTTTCAAAATCATTTTTTGATATAAAAAAAATTATTCTATATAAGATATGTAAAGCGTTGCCAATTTTTAAACTTCGAACATGATCTAGATTTGAAGACGATATAATATCTCCAAATGTGATTTAACTTTAAATATTAGATAATAATTAGCCTCATAATACAAGTATCTCCAACATATTTTGATGATGTAAATTTGAATATGTAATCCCGGCAAACGTGATTTAAATTTAATTACAAGATAATATTTATCTTCGTCCTATGAATATCTCCAATATATCTTAAATTTGAGTATGTACATAAAGGATGGTGTGTGTTATTATATCAAACGCTATGATTTAAATTTGAATATGAGATAATATTTATTAGGTTTTCCATATTAATTAGTTTATTCCCTTACCTTGCAATGCCTAGGCTCAATCAATAAGATAAATAATAAATGATCACCTTAGTCTTGCATAGAACAATTTTGATTGTTCTTCTAGAAAGAAAAAAAAAATAAAAATAAAAATAAAATATATATAAATTTGAGAATGCGCACACGTTGTAGACGTGGCGGAAGGTGTCACAAATTCGTTGCCGAATATAGGAATTTATTTATGCATAAAAAAAAAATAATATATTCAAACTTTTGTCAATTAATTGACAAATAATATATAGTTGAACATGTAGCATGATGCAGTTAGAGAAAAAGTCAAAATCAGCTCCTTTGCAATGAGTGGAATCATATCACGCACGGAGCTCTAAGTGCTCGTGAATTTCTTTGGTCGGTTGTTGATTGATAATATACAACTTAGCCATGCCAAAGGAATTTGCTGTTTTACAATATTTGATTTAAGAATTATGAATGATCCCAAATTGAAAACCAGTTGAAGAGTACTCTGTTTTTGTTTTATTTTGCTTCATTTAATTAATGGGACCCCTCGCCACTGTTTTCGGAGTGCGTGTACTTGATAGTTGATACACACTCAAAATTGAGGGGATAGATGGTCTATTTATCAATCAGCCAGCCAATCAAATTATATGTGATTGATTGAGCACACATAATAGTTAATACCTCTCGATGATTTAGTTCAGACATGGCCACGGGTCAACTGGCCCGGACCCGGCTCGGGCCCGGCCAAACCCGTTGACCACGAGTCCGGGCCCGGCTCGGATTTTCAACCGGGCCGGTTCAGGGTCGTCTTTTTTTCGACACCAACCCAGCGGGTCGGGCTGAGTCCGGTTCGGCACGGAAAAAATCAATTATTTTTGAATTTTTCTATTTTTTTTCTTTTTTTTTTTAATTTTTCCGGGTCAGACCCGGGTCGGGCCCGGCCCGGCCCGCCGGGTCATGGGCCCGGCACGGGTTTAGGGCGTGCCGGTTCAGGGTCGACAAAACCCAACCCTTCGGCCCGCCGGGCCGGGCAGGGCCCTGAATCGGCCCGCCATTTGGCTATGTCTAATTTAGTTACCATTCTGGAAGTGAGCAATCGAGTTTTCAAGAACATGTGACAATGTATGGGGTCTATTTTTGTCTACATACCATACCATATAAATAAACTCAAATCTTGGATGATATGGATAAACTATATAAAATTAATAAATTCACTTAAATGTAAAGAGACTAAGTCTCTACTTGGGTCTAAAATAGACTTAACTGCATCCACAATGTTTTGGGTCCAAACACAAAAAATTATATGCCACCTAAGAAATAGACCCAGTCTGAAAAAATATATTCTCCAATGCAAATAAAAATAGAATATATCCTGCTGATGTGCCAGCCAGAAAAAGAGACCCGGTCTACCCATAAGTCTATTTTAGACTCAAGTAGAGACATAATCTCTTTGCATTGGAGTGGAGTTTGTTAATTTTACATAGTTTTATCAATGTCATCCAAGACTTAGGTTTATTTACATGCCGCATAGACAAGACTAGACTCAATGCATTGTAGATCTTTTTCTTTCTGCCATATCAGCAGGACCCAGTCTACTTGCATTTGCATTGGAGAATATATATTTTTTAGACTAGGTCTATTTTGAAGGTGGCATGTAAATATTATTAATTGAACTCAAAGCATTGTGGATGCTCAAATTATGCTTATTGTTTGTTTATACAGGATAAGATTTTTTTATGCGATATTATTTCATGGAAAGTAGAGTTTTTCTCTCTCCTAAACCCGATTTCCCCTCTATTCACTTTCCCCAAACCCTAAACCAATTTCAGCAGCACCTCTTTTGCATGCCAGGTGACTTTATTGTTGGAATTTATGAGGATCGTCGTAATTGTGCGAGCTATAAAT